GCCAGGGGATGCCATATTTCACCGTCTTTGGGGAGCGTTCGTCTTGCGATAACTTGAGGAAAGAGTTGGTGCCCTTGAGAGTGCTAGAGCATGCTGGGAAGCCCGGCCCGACGGCCCTCGAGCGGCTTCAGTTGGAAACTGGATTGTTGCCCACCCTGGAGAGCGGTGGCCGCGCCCGTTTAGCCAGGACGAGGCGTGTTCGGCACAGGTTTTTCGGGTGTTTTGACGCCAGGCCTGGGTCTGACACGCCTCTTGACATGTCCAGTGGCTTCGCTATGCACGCGGACATGGGGCAAGAGCAGGACGGGGACATTTTTGTGGATGGCTCGTGTAGGGAGTCACCCATCAAGGAGCTTTGGAGGGCGGGGTGGGCCGCTGCGAAGCTCGCGGCCAATGGCGAGCTTCGGGCGATCCTATACGGCCCCCTCTCTTCTAGTTGTCCTCAGACCAGCCGGGCTGCAGAGTTTGGGGTCCCCGCTAGCGCGGCTGCTTATTTATCGCCTAGCCACGTCCGGTTTAAGAGTGGTTGCCATCATGTCGTCGCGCTTTGGACGTTGGCGCGGCCTGAACGGCACTCGCACCGTAGGATATACTCGGGTATTTTGTTGCAGGCTGACGCCTCAGCCGACGGCGCCATTTACGGTGTAGATATGGCGCAGGCTCACCTCGAGCTGGACTCGTCGCTCGACGACGACGAGCTTTTCAGGAGGAGAGGTAACGATTGGGCCGGCAGAGCTGCGAAGTTGGGTGCGTCTCTGCACCCTGACGGCGCGGGAGAAGACCACCAGCGGGTCTCGCATCTTGTGGCTGTTTCCCGTGATGTTGTCAAGCTCGCGGCTCGAGCGATGCCCCATCTGGCCCCGAGCGGACCTGGATGTAGAGGGATAGGGCACCCCACGAAGGAGGGCCATGCTACGAGTGGATCCTGGTCGGCAGCCCTCCGAGAGTGTTATGGCAGTGCCAGCATTGTCTTAGGGGTTCTCCTTCGCGCGCCAAGACCATTACTGGTCATTGCTCGAGGCACCGCAAGGTCCAGCCCTTGACTCTGTCGAGCCTCTGACATCGGCGCGTCCTCATTGATTGTGGCGACGCGTCTTTCGTCTGTGCGTGCCAGAGGTTTGCGTGTTATGCGTCAGGGGAGCGCGTGAAAGAAAGTGGGGGCGCCTCGGCAAAGGACTCCACCCTCAGAAGAGCGGGGTCAATGTCGATCAGCCCACCTTGTTGCCTCTCGGAGTGTCAGGCTCCGCTGGCACAGGACCGTCCGATTCATCTCCTTTTGAAGGGGTGGAGCGGGGGGCGGAGCTGGTGGGGCCGAGGGCGGGGGGGGGGATCTCATTCTGTCGTGCTGCGACCCTCGGGCGGTGACCCTTGGGAAGGTGTGTGCGCGGCTGACGAGGAGGCGGCTGACTTCTTGTTCGGCCTAGAGCCAGGGGGCAGCTCGGCCGCGCAGGCAGAGCCTGGACAAGCGGCCTTCGCGGGCACCCCAGGCGGCGCCCCCGCATCTCGTGCCGCTGGCTCTTCCTCTTCTCTGGAGGGAGTGGCAGAGTTGAGGCCCGTGGGCCCCCCACCCGAGGGCCGCGGTCGGCCTCGCCTCGCGCGGGTCCACGGGCCCCCGGGGGGGGAACGCCGTCGGCGCATGGGGCGGGAAGCGCGCCGCTGCTCCTAGCGGCGTGGGTGGGATCATCTGCCACGGGGGGCAGCGAGGGATAGCCGTCTTGAGGCTGCCTCCCCAGGCCCCGCCTCTCCGTCCAGGACAGGTGCTGACTACCCCAGGCCTGGCTCGGGTCAGTCCTGCCCTGAGCGTGCGGACGCAGAGGGGCCCGCCGTTGCGGGCTATGCTGGATTTGTTCCCGCTGCGTCGCCGCACGGTTCGGCCCTCCACACAGGTGGAGGGGCCGAAGCGGGCTTTCCGCCGTGCCCGAGCCCTCGCGAAGGCGAGTTGAGCTCGGGCTCGTCGGACTAATGCGGTGGGTGGATCGGCCTCAGTGGCCTACTTCCCTTTTATTACCTCTTCGCCCACTTGTCGGTCTTCGGCCGTTGATGTCGAGAAACTGTATATTTGTCTGTCTCTCTCTCTCTCTCTCTGTCTCTCTGTCTCTCTCTCTCCCTCTTTTTTTGTTGTTTTGTTTTTTTTCTCTCTCTCTCTCTCTCTCTCTCCTTTTTCCCATTTCTTCTCCCCGTTTGTGCCGTCACTGCCACCTTTCTCATTCCTTGTCAGTGCACCAACACGCTGGTTTCGCCACCTCGGCACCAGCTGTGGTGAATGCTTGCCTGCGCGCCTGTGCAACAGCTGTGTTCGCATCTCCTACAACCGGAAGCAGACTGCAACGTGTGTGAGACTGCAACGTCAGTTTCGCTCTGCCCTGAGAGCTTCAGTTCACGGTCATTGCCGTCGTATGCATACGGTGGCCGTGTATGAAATCTTTTCTCGGCAAACTAGGTTTCAGTATGACGCCCGTGATTTGGGATGCGGTGTTGCGGAATCCCCCATCGCAGAGACCAGCGGCGTTGCGCAGACATGTCGTGGCCCATTTTTCGTAGAATGTGGATCAGGTTGCGTCCATGTCTGTTCCGGCGTCGTCCGTGAGACCGTCTCGTCGTCGACGGGTGCTTGCCAGTGCGCCCTCCAAATGTTGCAAGTGTGTTCGATTGATGGATCTGGGTTTGCTCTGACGCTGCCGAGAGGAACGCACACCCGGGGTGGTTGCGTTGCTGGGAAGACTTGTTGAAACAGGTCGACGTGGCTCTCCTTGTGAGCGTTCTCTTATTCCGCCTCCTCCTCCTCCTGCTCCTCCTCCTCCTGCTCCTCCTCCTCCTCCTCCTCCTCCTCCTCCTCCTCCTCCTCCTCCCCCTCCTCCTCCTCCTCCTCCTCCTCCTCCTCCTCCTCCTCCTCCTCCTCCGCTCGGGGCGCAGGGGGGAGGGGGGGGGGTCTGGCTCCGGACGTCTGCTCAGCGCGGCGGTTCACAGAATGTGCGTCCCATGGGGGAGAAGCTCCACTTGCTCGAGACAGGCGCCAAAAAACAGCGAAGATCTACGCCCCGGGGGGGGGGGGAGGGGGGGTTTTAGGGGCCCGCGCCGATCGGCAAAACAATTAGTAAAAAACGATCACATTTTGAACAGGAGCAAGCATCACGATCGCATGGTGATATGACGGAGGCCGGACGGCCGCGGCATGTGTGCGTTGGCGTCTGCGGGGGGGCACGCAGCAGGCGATTTGTTGATTGAGCTGGAGCGGAGGCTGATGCTGGCGGCTACCACGGCATACGTCCAAACATATTCTACGTTGGTGATCGTTTTTGTATTCATTGTTTTGCCGATAGGCGCGTGCCCTCGCACCCCCCCTCCACCCCCTATGGAGTAGATCTTGGCTGTTTGTGGCGCCTGTTTCGAGCAGGTGGAGCCCCTCCCCCTCAGGACGCACTGCTGCAAACAGTCGCATGAAGCAGAGGTCTGGAGCCAGACCCCCCCCCCTCCACCCCCTTCCACCCAATGTCGAAACGCCGAATCAGAAAACGTTCACTTGTTGGGCTTCCTTCTGTGATGCGCCAACCACGTCACGCAGCGTTCCGGCCACGGAGACCTTCAGTGTTGCAGCTTTTCGTGCGTATCTGAACCACCTTTGATGGGCGCACCGGTTCCTCAGGCCATCGACCGCGTGGGACACCAGCTTTGGCGCGGCCAGCACGCAAAGGGGGTCGCAGTTTGGCGCTTGCGCTAGGCCTCCAGGTTCGGGATGCCCTCGCGGTCGTCAAGCGTGCGCAGGCCGCTGGTGACACCGAGACGGTTGTCCTCCCTGCGGTGTCTTCGCTTGTTTCCGCCGAGGGTTCTTTCCGAAGCCCTTTCCGCAGCATGTGCGCAGCCGCCATGTTGAAACCTGTCAGTATGAAGGCCGCCTGCGCTCCGCGCAGAGCGCAAGTGCGAGCCTTCAGGCTTGCCACTGTGCGCGCATCACCGTATTCAACACGCTCCTCGAGCAGCTGGAGCAGCAGACTCGGTCACGATGTTTGCAGCGTTGTGCAGTGGCTTGTCCAACCGATCTCTGGCAATGTGCGTCAGGTCTTGGCCTAGCGTACAGTGTCAGGCTCTGCGCGCATTGCCTCAGACCGGGCATGCCCAGAGAATTGCCAGAGTCAGACAGCTCCATCCTCGTGCATGCGGCTGCAGGACGGTGAATGGAGAAACTCAGGCTTTTTTGGTGATTGCGGAGCGACCAGCTCAGCGAAGCAGCGGTCTCCATTCCAACGTCAATAGGGGCTGAAGGGGGATGGCATCGCGCTGAAGTTGAACGGGCGCGCGGCCCACCGCTTCGTGGTGGTAAGTGAGGCAGCCCCGTGGTCAAGGGCTTCAAAGCAGACCCGAAGGAAGCAAGTCAAGCCCACAACCATCACATGCGAGGCTATCTGGACGGCATCAGACGGGTCTGGGCTTCCCAGTGCTACCCGACGCACCTCCCGGCACGATTCGGCTGGGCGGAGGCGACCACGCCGCTAGTTCGGCGGCGAGACGGCATGGCTAGCACCCGCCAGCGCACCCGGGAGGAGATGCGGCGCGCGCCGGGGGCGGGAGGACGCCCACAGCAGCAGCTCGGTAGCCACGCCAGGAGAGCGGGCGGTGCCGGCGCCGTGCGCCATCGACACAGCGGCACGGGGGCGAGGCCCGGCTCGAGCGCCGTCTGATTCGCAGCTGGCGCTGGCCACTGGACGAGAGCGCGTGCGAGGAGTCGCCGCCACGCGGTGTCCTGCGCGGCCCCAGCTTGCCTGAATGCCGTTCACTTGTTCCCGGGGGACTCCTGGTGCCTCCTTCGCATCTTCCTCCACGTCCTCTTCTCCCGATGGTCGGCACCTCCGCCTCCTCCTCCTCCTCCTCTCGCCCCTCCTCTTCCTCATCCCCCATCGCCCTTCCTCCTCCTCCGCCTCCTCTTCCTCCTCCTCCCTCCCTCTTCTTCTCCTCGTTCATCATTCCTTCTCTCGTCCCTGCCCCTCCTCCCTGGCCGTCTCCAGCTCCCCCCTCCTCTTCCGCGCACCCGCCGTGGGTGCCCTCGCTTCTGCGCGATTAACCCACGCGCTTCGTAGGCCGCCTGGGCCGCGGCAAAGGACGCAAACCCCGCGGGCGCGCCTCGGGTGTCGCAGGAGCCGAGCAGCAGCAGTAGTCGTTTGTAGGATCGCACTTCCTCGGGCTTGCGGGCAGAAGGGAAGGACGTGGAGGAGGGAAGGGAAGGACGAGGGGGAGGAGGAGGAGGAGGAGGAGGAGGAGGAGGAGGAGGAGGAGGAGGAGGAGGAGGGGAAGGAGGAGGAGGAGGAGAGAGGAGGAGGAGGAGAAGATTAGGAGATGAGGAGTTGAGGAAGATAAGGAGATGAGGAGAGGAGAAGAGGAGGAGAGAATGGGGAGAAGGAGGAGGAGGATGGAGAGGTGGAGGAGCAGAGGATGAGGAGGAGGTGGGAGGAGGAGGAGGAGGAGAGGAGGAGGAGAGAGGAGAGGAGGAGGAGGAGGGGAGGGGGAGGAGGGAGGGAGGGGGAGGGGGAGAGGAGGAGGGGGAGGAGGGAGGGGGAGGGGAGGGAGGGAGGGGGAGGGAGGGAGGAGGAGGAGGATGAGTCGGAGGTGGAGGGAGGATGCAGAGGATGAGGAGAGGAAGAGAGGAGGAGGGTGAAGGAGGAGGAGGAGGATGAGGAGGAGGAAGAGAGGAGGAGGAGGAAGAGAGGAGGAGGAGGCGGAGGAAGAGGAGGAGGAGGCGGAGGAGGAGGAAGAGGCGGAGGAGGAGGAGGAGGAGGAGGAGGAGGAGGAGGAGGAGGAGGAGGAGGAGGAGGGGTGAGGACGAGGAGGGGGATGACGAAGAGACGGGAGGATGAGGATGCGGGAGGTGGGAGGAGGACCAGTAGATTGCAGGGCCAGTTAAGACAGGAGTCAATCGCCGCCCGTTTAGTCGCCCAAGGCGGCCGCAGAAGGACGAGGAGGAGGGAGAAGCAGGAGGAAGTGGGCGAGGAGGGCGAGATGGAGGAACAGCCGCCGCCGTGAACGAGGTAGGATGAGCGCGAAATTCGTTTGCAGCTGCAGGGTGGCACGCCATCGTGTTGCAGTTCTGCAATCGTTCTTCCCCAGATCGGCTCAGCCTTCGTGGTTAGTCTCTCTGTCTTCCTCTGTCCTCTTCCCCTCTCTTTTCGTGCTGTGGCCGCTCCCCCGAAAGGAAAGCAGCCGATGAGGAGGAGGAAGGTGAGGAAGTTGAGCAGGAAAAGGAGCAGGGGAGGAAGAGGAAGAGGAGAAATGGGAAGTGAGCAGAAGGGTTTTGTCCGCCTCCAGGGCCCGGGGGAACGACAGCTCCCAGTCTGGCCGTTGCCGCATCGGCGAACAGGCTTGGAGCTTCCGAGAGCTCCATGTCTGAGGTTGTGGGCCCCTGGGCACGGCGGGGCTTGGCTCCGGTGTGACACTGCATCCGTCTCTCGGGACGGGCGCGCGGGCAATGAATGGGTACACAGGTCCACGCCCTAGGCAGAACCCTGAAGCACATGCCTTGCTTTGGGAACGTAAGCTGATGTCAGAAGTTGCTGTCACGAGCCTTGGGGAGCGGCCCGTCTCAGAATTTGTCGTGGCAGATCTCGGTGTTAGTTGAAGTCTTCTGGTGTCGCTGCAAGCCTTGAACCCTTGAAGTCACAAGCTGGCGTTGCAAATCCGTCCTCCGCGAGCAAGTGCAATGAAAACAGTTTTAGCCCCAACTGCCTTTGCTATTGCCTCGAACGCGCTTCCCGTAACCAAATTTGTACAATAATCACAGCAGCCATGGTCCCTTTTTCCTTCCACAAATTAGGCTCTGCATCAGAGCTCATGGCTGGTGGCAGCGTTGCCTCCTGGCCAGGCTCTTTGGATGCCCCCCACCGGTTGAACGGGAATGAGCTCACGATTGCGCAGTGGAGAGCACATGCCAATGCAGCGCAGAGCGCAACAGCTTCACGGAAAGCCGTGTAATCGAGGCAGGTCGCGCCAGGCCAGAGTCAACGAGTGGCGATGCGATTCCGCGCAAAGCTCCGCGCTGGAAGGCAAGGTCAAAACGCAGGGCATCACGACGCCGTGGCACGCGACGGCCTGTCCGCGCCGTGCTCCGCCTGACGCTGGCGGATTCTGAGCTTTACCAATCCCTGTCGCAGCCCGAGGCCCGAGGCCAGTTTTTAGGGCGGGCCGGGCGTTTGGCCTGAGACGCTCTCACCACTTGTGAGATTGAAGCTTTAAAAGTGACAACAGTTATACGGACTGAGGGCGGGTGGTTTTCAAAATGTGGTTCTCGCCTTAGCGCCGCGCACACTCGTTGTAAACATTTCCTAGGGTTTCACGGATTGAGGGCGGGTGGTTTTCAAAATGTGGTTCTCGCCTGAGCGCCGCGCACATTCGTTTTACAAATTTGTAACGGTTTCACGAACTGGCATGGTCTACGGACCAGAAAAGGCGTTTGGGAAGGATTCAGGATTATGCGGGTGCAACAGTTATGTTGATTCGCGGTGTTGAAATCCCATCAGTGGCGTCATGCACGATTTAAATAGGTGTCGTTCAACGAGACAGTTCCCTTATGGAAAGGAGCCGTTGTAGGGGCCTGTGATGAAGAGGGAGCTGGGAGGGACGGTGAATTCCAACATCGTCGATGACTCTTGGGTTTACGTACACAGGTCCTCCTCCTCCTCCTCCTCCTCCTCCTCCTCCTCCTCCTCCTTCTCCCCTTCCTCCTCCTCCTCCTCCTCCTCCTCCTCCTCCTCCTCCTCCTCCTCCTCCTCCTCCTGCTCCGCCTCGCGGGCGGTCTGACGCTTCGCTCGCCCTCTCGGCCTGCCCCTCCTCGCCGAAAGCACCTCGCACAACTGCTGCCGCGCAAGGGCCCGGTGCCCACGGCCTTGCGCCCCCACAGACCTCACTCCTCGCACCGGGGGAGGTCGGGCGCCGCACTTTGCGCGAGCGCGCCTGGGGGGGGTCGCCTGGGGGGCGCCTGGCGGCTTCCTCCTCCTCCTCCTCCTCCTCCTCCTCCTCCTCCTCCTCCCGGGGGGATCCGAGGCAGCGCCGAAGGCAGCGCCTCGTCGAGTCCACGCTTCTACCCGCTCGCTCCGGCCCTGCGTGCAGCGTCATGCTGCGAGCTTCGCGGTCTCGACCGCCTGTTCCTCCTCCTCCTACTCCTCCTCCTCGGCGCTCCCAGACCTGGGGTTGGCCTCCTCCTCCTCCTCCTCCTCCTCCTCGGCGCTCCCAGACCTGGGGGTGGCCTCCTCCTCCTCCTCCTCCTCCTCCTCCTCCTCCTCGTCCTCGTCCTCGTCCTCCTCCTCCTCTTCCTCCTCCTCCTCCTGCGGATCCGCCACGTGCCTGGCGAACCGAGCAGCGGCGAAACGGAGCCCTGGCTGGCCCCGTCGCCCCCAGGGCTATGATGTTCTAACCTGCGTTAGCCCTGGGCACCAGAAAGAGTTTCGAGCACCAGGAAGGTACCGAAACTTGAGGGTTTTCACGTGTCGGGCCCTGGGAGGCGACATTCGTTCGACATGTGTGTTTCGATATTTCTCTGGGTGCCCGAAATCATTCATGGGATGCGGTCCTTAAGTACGATGGGAGCAACCTAACCCCAGGGTGACTCTTGCGTGCAGTTGAGAATCGATTCGGGCGAGTCAAGACCGGGCGAGTCGAGCCCCAGCAAGCGAGCCCCGGCGGACCGAAAGCCCCGGCGAAGCGAGATTCTGGCGAAGCGAGCTTCTGTCACCAAGCGCGTTCCACTACTCGCAAAGTGCCTACTCGCAAACGTCCGAAAAACTGATGTCTGCTTCGTTGAGATTTATCGTAGATCCCCCGCGGCGGATCAAGGCCATTTGCGAGTAGTTACGTTGCGAGTAGTGGAACTCGCTCGTCTATTCTGGCGAACCAAGATTTCGGCGGAACGAGTCCGTGCCGCGGCCTCGAGATGGGCGCCCAATGGGCTTTTCCCTATCCCTTGGCATCTCCGAGCTTTTATGTTTATGTCATTGTTCGTTCCCCTATGGAAGCCTACAGAGGGAAACATCGAGGTCCTGAGGTTTCCGCCGTCAGCGGCTCCTCGGCCCTGTTTTTATGTTTATGTCTTCGTTCGTTCCCCCTTATGGCAGCCTGCAGAGGAAAGCATCGAGGTCCCGAGGTTTCCGCCGTCCGCGGCTCCTCGGCCCTGGAGTCCAGGGCTCCTCTTCCGACCATGCCAACGCGAGCTTCCGAGAGCCGCAGCAAACACCGAAGCCTCCAGCGTTCCGAGCGCCGTGCATGCGTCGACTTCTCGTGGCTGGTGCGCTGACGCCCCCCGCACGGCCCCACCCCAGAGACGCGCGCCCTCTCCTTCCCCTCGTTGGAAGCTCTTTCGGTCGGCGGCGCCCAGCGCCTCATAACCGAGCTGCGGGCAGGCTACGCTGGGACGCAGGCGCAGCGAGTTGCGGCACGCGGGGAAGGGGGAAGCCCTCCTCGGAAGCACGGATCGGCCCGTAGAGCCTCCCCCCCTCGTCCCCCCCGCCCTCCCTCCCCATCCCCCTCCCCTCGCTGGAGGCAGGGCGAGACTCCCGCAAGAGCGGCCAGGATCGTTTTTCCCCCAGCGCGGCCCGCGGCCGCACCTCGCCGGCTCGCCGCCCAGCGATCCGCGCGGGGGGGCGGGGGGGGGCCCGGCGGCGCCACCCGGCCCCCCGCCGAGAGCCCCTCCCCCCCTCCGCGGCGGGCAGAACGCAGGCCGGCGGCGCGCCACAGGGGGGGGGGAAGGGGAGCGGGGGGGGGGGGGGGGCAGGCCTGCTCGGGATCGGGGGCGGCCAAGGGGCGACGAACGAACCGCAGACGCCCGTACCCATGCAGTGGCCCACCCCGGGAGACACCCTGCTTGCCTCCAGGGCGCCCTGGGCTTCTTGGGTTTCGATGGTTTTGCCACGGACAGCGTGACGTTCCCATACCAGAAATCCATGGACGTCTTGGGGTCTCAGGGTTGGTTTTTTGTGGAAGGTTTCCTGTGAACTGGCCTCCACTGCAGGGGTGCGGGTGCGGGGTGCCGGACCGCTGGGGAGGCTCCCGCTCTAGCTGGACCCCCCATCCGACAACGCGCACTCCTCCTCCTCCTCCTCTCCTCCTCCTCCTCCTCCTCCTCCTCCTCCCCCTCCTCCTCCTCCTCCTCCTCTCCTCCTCCTCCCTCCCCTCTCCCCTCCTCCTCCTCCTCCTCCTCCTCCTCCTCCTCCTCCTCCTCCTCCTCCTCCTCCTCCTCCCCCTCCTCCTCCCCTCCTCCTCCCCCCCTCCTCCTCCTCCTCATTCATCCTCCTCTCCTCCTCCTCCTCCTCCTCCTCCTTCCTCCTCCTCCTCCTCCTCCTCTCCTCCTCCTCCTCCTCCCCTCCCCCTCCTCCTCCTACTCCTCCTCCTCCTCCTCCTTTCTACTCCTCCGCCTCCTCCTTCTCCTCCTCCTTCCCCCCTCCCCCTCCTCCTCCACCTCCTCCTCCTCCTCCTCCTCCTCCTCCTCCTCCTCCTCCTCCTCCTCCTCCTCCTCCTCCTCCTCCTCCTCTCTTCTCCCTGCCCTCCTCATCCACCTCAGCCGACTTCTCCTCGCTCCTCACGCCTCCAAACCCCTGCTCGCGCTCGTCCCCTCCTCACCATCGTTCCCATCACCCCCCCATAGGGGTGCGGGTGTGTGTGTGTGTTGTCTTTTCGTCAAGGAGTGGGGGATGACCTGGGTGGAGGGGGTGCGTCGTGGCCGAGGCCATGGTACCTCCCCAGATTTCAGGGCCCCCTCTCCTTCTTTCAACACGTCCTCTGGTCCCCCCCCCCTCGTCCGCGCACGTGCCTCGGGCCACGATCTGCGGCGAACCCCCCTCTTGGCCCCCCCCCCTCGCGGACGCCCACAGACGGAAGGCTCGGAAGGCATCCAGCCTTCGGACAAGTTTTTGTTGCACCTTCTCCGGAGACACGGGCGGCCCCTCAGAAGGCCGCAGGGCTTGAGAGAGGCCCCGCCGCCCTCTGAGGAGGCCTGCCCCCTCTCACTCCCCCCCTGGGCCCGCCGCCGAGCAGAAGGGAGCGGGCCGGCGGCCGCGGTGGCCAGCGGATCTGCGAAGCGGATTGCGGAGTGGGCGGCCCTCTCGACGCAAAAGTTGCCCCTTCGTCTCCGCGCCCCTCGCGGGTGGACTCGGGCGGTGCCAACGGCGGTGCCCAGCGCGCGTTGCGTTGCCGAAGGTGTTCGCCACAGTGGGCTCAGTCGGGTATAGCCAGGACCCCAGGTAAGGGGACCGGCTAGTGGTAGGACCTTGGAGCCCTGAAATGGGCCAGAATCGCTGAACCAGGTCTGCCGCTCGTGTTTTTTCGGGTGACGGCAGTTCTGGTTAGTGGAACCGGGCGGGAGAGGGGGCGTCCCCCAGTGCACATAAGCAAACCAGGTCCCACTAAACCCAGTTCTGCCAACGCCCGACTCAGATAGCGGCCGGCGGCCGCGGTGGCGGGCGAATTTGCGCTGCGGGGTGCGGTGTGGGCGGCCCTCTCGACGCAAACACCGTGCCTCACGGGAGGAATAAAGAAAGGCGCTGATACCGGTGCTCGTCCTAAAGAGTTCTCGTCGCCACGGCTGGATTCTCCGATTCTTCTCCAGATTCTGGTCAGAACGCACCCCTGGAGCCCTGGAGAGGTCCGGGGAGTGGCAGTACCTTGTTGCTTCTCTGGCCTTCTCCTCCACTCCCCTCGCTGACGCACTTCATAGTGGTGCCCAACGCGCACCGCGTTGGCGAGGATGGTTGCCAGCGTGGACCTCCGACAAGAGACGACAGCACCCTGGATGTGCAGTCTGCGTGCACTCTGTGGTGCACTCTGTGTGGTGCAAGCCATGCGTCAGGAGGAAAAGAAACACACAGACACAATTAATCCTCGATTCCCGAGAAAATATAGGAAAATATGGGAATTGGGGGGAAAGACAGAAACCCAGAAAATATGGGAAAATATGGGGAACATTTTTATTTGTGTGTATTTATTTGTGTGTCCTGGGGCCCCTTCAATGTGGTGCAACATAGTGTGGTGCAAGCTGATCCTGTGGTGCAGTGTCTTACGGTGGGGGCGTTGATTGAGGAATAGTCCCAGGAGCCGCCAGACCCTGGAGGATTCCTTATTTGATGAGGGCGGCGGCGATGTCCACTGCCAAGCCTCAAATGGAGTTCCAGCGGCCTCCAGACCCTGGGTTCCTTATCGACGGCTCCCTTATCCAGTGCCCCCCCCCCGCAACGTGGTGCAAGCTGGTCCTGTGGTACACGAGTGTATTACTGGGTGCAGGCTGCGCGGTGCAATGAGAGCACGGGCCTGCGCACGAGGTCACCACGAGAGGGCCGCGGGCGCCCTTACCTCGCGAACAAAAATCCGGGGCTCCCACAGCCCACACGAGGCGCGCACCGAGGCGGTCACGGGCGCCCGGCGGGCGAGAACGCAGAGGTCCCAGCCAAGACCATCCGAGGAGGAGCGAAAAGGTGCCCATACCTCTGCCCTCTCCTCGGTTTCCCCCTTTGGGGACCTCCTGGGTCTCCGTCGTCGCCACCGCTGGCTTCGCTCCGAAGTCTTGGCCAGAACGCGCCCCAGGAGAGGTCCGGGGAGTAGCGGTATCGGTACCTTTCAGGAGGGGAAAAAACACACAGACACAATTATTTGTCGATTCCCAGAATATATGCGAAAATATGGGAAGTGGCGGGGAAGACAGAAACCCAGAAAATATGGGAAAATATGGGGAATAGTTTTATTTGTGTGTATTTATTTGTGTGTCCTGGGGCCCCTTCAACCTTTTGGTCTCCCCAGAAGACGCGCCCACGAGGCGGCCGCAGGCGCCGACGGGGCGAAAACACCGGGAGCTCCCAGCCGGTCCCCGACCACACGATGTTGCACCCCGTAAGTTTCGGGCCGGGCGAAAGGGGGGGATTGGGAAAGGGGGGGTTACGAAATTTGCTGCATGCAGCTGATTTCGGCCTCACCGAGGGGCCCATTCCTCGATACATAGTCGCCTCCGGCGCCGGGAGGCGCCGGGAAAATCAGCTACGTGAGCTGATTCTCAACCCCCCCCTTTGCTATCCCCCCCTTTCGCCCGGCCCGTAAGTTCGCGCAGGCTCACTCTGGCAAAGAAGGGTTTCGCGAAGAGTGCTTGAAGAGCTCGCGGTTCGAAAGGAGCACTGATTCGCGGCTCATGACGCGCATGCTAGTCACATCCTGATGCGCGACGCAGCCGCGCGATCTGTAATCTATGCATCTATAATTACATGTTTATGAGAAAGACAGAGAGAGAGAGAGAGACAAAACAAAAGAAATAACGGAAAACAATAAGTACAACAATAAATACATATATACATATATCTATATATATATATAGTCAACAGGAAGAGAGTTTGCAACGGATCAATCGCCCAGGCAGCACTTCTATAGTAAAGTTTGACTTAAATAATGTCTTTACTGGCAAGCTGACATGAGATGGAGGGGGAAGCGAGTCGGAGCGAACAAAACGAAGGGAGAGGCGTTGTATGATCGGGTGATTGTCAAATTGCCTCAGGGATACCACCTCGTCTTACAGATGGTCGTTTGTAGTCGTTGGTCGGGGAGTGCGTCGTTCTGGCACGCACGGACGAGTCCGACGGCCCAATTTGGCCAACGACATAATTGGCGTGGCCAGCACGATGACGGAAAGCGCCCTCCTCTCGAGCAAGATCGTTGGTCTGTTTGGGCCTGTCTTGGATCAGTATTTCGAGTTGCTCTCTTGGACTTTCGGGCGCTCCTCCATACGCCTACTTGGGCCATCTTGAGACACAATAGAAACCGAGCAAGGTTCCGACTTGGCTGAATGCCGCAATCCGTGTCTATGTGGGCTCAAGCCTGTTGAGCTTCGATTATGTGCGTGCAGTAGCGTTATCGAGGAGCGATCTCGAGGTCCTCGGCCAATGAGGGCGAGTCTGTACCTGATCCTCGCGTTGACATTGCCACGGCCAGTCAGTGCAGGTGAAGGCTACCCTGGATGGGAGACAGATCAGGGCTGCCCTTGCTCCAACCAGTCGCTCTGCGAGCCGATCCACCGTGTAGGCCCTGAGCGAGTTTTTGCGTTCCACGTTGGAGTAGCTGGCAACAAGGACTGGACCCAGTACGACTGGAGTCAGATTACCACCGTCTGCGTGTTCGGCGCGCTGGATCCGGAGCTGCTCTGCCACGCGCACCGCGTGGGGGCGAGGGTCACCATAGGCGTGGACATAGGAATCGCGTCGTGGCGCAACGCCAGCCTCGTCGACGCGTGGATCGCGGAGAAGGTGCGGAAGGTCCAGGACGGCTTCCTGGATGGTCTCAACCTCGATATCGAGGACTCCGCCACCGATCCCGACGACGTCCGCGCGCTCTCCTCGCTGTCGGCGAGGACGGCCGAGGCGATGCACAAGGCCGTTCCGGGGTCGCAGGTGACTTTCGACGTGCCGAGCGGTGGGATGCTGAACCAAGGAACCTGCGGGACTCAGTACAACCGGCGCTACGACTTTGGTGCGCTGGCAGCCGCCATGGATTTCCTAGTCGCCATGGACTACGATTCGAACGCTCACTACCCTTCGAAGTGCCCGACGTGTTTTGACGCGAACTGCGGGCTGCCCATCCTCGAGCAGGGCACGAGGTGCTACGAGAAACTGGGCGTCCCAGCGTCTAAGCTGGTCCTGGCAATGCCGTGGTACGGATACGACTACACTTGTGGCCCGGATGACAAGCCAGGAGACATATGCCGCATCCAGGCAGCAGCGCAGATCAGTTATCCCGGCGCCGCTGGCCTTCTGCTTTCGAGTTCAATCGGTGGCCGCCACTGGGCAGCGAACACGTCCACGCCATACTTTTACTATCGCGACAGAAGCTCCGCCTTGCACCGCGTGGACTACGATGACGTGGACTCGCTCCGGATCAAGTACGCGTACGCGAGGACCGCGGGTCACCGGGGCGTCGGCATGTGGACGGCGAACTCCCTCAATTACACGAACGTGTCGGAGGTGAGCAGCTTCTGGGAGGCTCTCAAGGAATTCGAGCCACCGCCGGGAGAGGATGATGTCGCCAACCTCGCGTACGTGTGAGCGCATTCACGTGATTCGCGGCACGTGAGGGAGGAAGGGCGGTATAGAGATCAAATCACGTTGGGACTGGTGCCGGGCTACATTGGACCAGTCCTTGGCAACCCTGGACAGGGTTTTCTTCAGTTCTTTGGTTTTTTGTTTGGTTAGGGGCTGGCCTGACCAGGCCGCACGCCTTTCCGGCCATCGCGTTTCAAGAGGCATTTCCACAATGTGGTAGGTTGTTTCACGGTTGCCCTCCGAGTCTATAGTTTTGTCGTCCGTTGGGCATGCGACTTTCGTCCTCGAAGTAGCGAAGCGAAGGCTCGAGCACAAGTACAAGTCATGTCTGATTGCTGTGAACTTAGGTATGGCTCCAGACTCACGAGCGATCCCCCTGACCCCCCCCCCCATGACAGGCCGCACGTTGTATGCGTGTTCCACCATCGCAGTTTGTCTCATCACGCGTTGCTGTGTGCATCGGATGGTGTTGCAGGTCAATGCCTGTGTCCGCTTACTATCAATACTAGGGTACATCACGATGTGCGTGCCTGGAGCCTTGCATTCATCCGGATGCGGTAGCATGAGGAAAAGGAGGGTCGTGTGCATGCATGCGCATGGGACCAGAATGGAATGCAGAGCGTGCAGACGCGGGCCAGCGGCTCGGGGGATAGAGAGTGACAGGTGGACAGGAGGGTTGGGGAGACAGGGCCAGTTGAGGGTCATTGCAAGTATCGCCAGCAATTCAATCGCTAAAACCACATGGCTCCTTCCAATCAATTTTTTGAGTGGCGCATATGTGTCTATACATATATATATATATATATATGTAAAGATGTGTGTATGTGTGCGCGTGTGCGTGGCGCTCTCAAGCGCATGCGTACTCACGAACTTGTATATGAGCATCCTCCCCGTTCGCCTTGCCTTCCAGAGAACTCGTGCCGACATGCTGTTGAGAGCCCAGTCGCTGTCATCGAACCGCCGCGCTGGCTCAAGGCGCGGGTGCGTCATCTACCTATTCTAATAAAGTCCACTTCAACACCCCTCCCGCCTCCCTTCCTTTCCGGCCTGGGCAGCCCCTCCCGCGTTAGGCCGGCACGGTACACAAATTGGCAAGGCTTTGGTCACCGATCGCGGTCCATTACTCGCAAAGCGCCTTCTCACAAACGTGCGAACAAACATATGATGCTCGATGCAATGGAGCTTGATGGCCTCGACGCACTGGATCCAGGCCACTTGCGAGAAGCTACTTTCTGCGAGTAGTGGAAAGCGCTTTTGAGAGTCCCACCTCGCCCCCGCAGGACCCCAGGGTGGCGCCCCCCCCCCGCTGTGCTGAGGCTCCCCGGCCTTCCCGGGGGGGGCGAACGAGGCCCGCCGGGATCATAGGCCGCTGGGGGCTGTCGGCTGATGCCGGCGGCGACGATCAGGGCGAACAGCCCAGGGGAGAGCAATACACGTACTCGCCCGGGAGCTTTTTCGAAGGCATAGATCATCGGCGCCCCGGGATACATGGGTTGCTCTCCCCTGGGCTATTTGCCCCTATCGTCGCCTCTGATGATGGGGGAGGGGGCAATGATGGGCCTGCTTTCCACCGCCGCAACCACAAGTTGAAGGGGGGAAGGAGGTGGAGGAGGAGGAGGAGGAGGAGGAGGAGGAGGAAGAGGAAGAGGAGGAGGAGGAGGAGGAGGAGGAGGACCCCCTCCCCCTTCTACTTCTGGTGGTGGTGGTGGTGGAAACAAGCCCACCAGGCAAGTTCGGGCGGAGCTGAGCCAGGCATACAGTCAAAACTCATAGTAAGGACGCACGGATGTCCTGAGGGTACCCTTGCGTCCTTGCCTCCGCGGCCCGTCCGTCGCGGTCTTCACTGGCCAGCCCTTCAGGGTGTTGGCAGTCCCCCGCCGCAGAGTGCCAACTTCGGCGTCAAGGCCCTCGAGTCCTTAGCGCCCGTCCTTACCATAGACTTCGACCGCAAATCGCTCCAGGGCGCCACGCAGCGCTCTCAGAGCGTTCTGGAGCGCCCTGGAACGGCCGCGGCGCCTCACGCGTCCCCCCGAGCAGCGGACTCCTGGAGATCCCCGAGTTGTTCTGGTCCGATCTTGCCCCGGCCTCGTCTCAGGGGGGGGGCAAGTCCTCGACGCCACCACCTGGGCTTTGGTGGATCTGCGGCCTCGCGGGATGAATCTCACAGTGCGGGGGGCGCCTCGCGAGCGCGCCCGATGAGGGTCTGCACAGCCGCCTCCGGCTTTCCTTCTGCCCTCAAGTCGGGCCCGTCCTTCTGCGGGAGGAAAATTCAAAAATAGTGAAAAATAGTCTGGGGACTATCTGTTGAGTATTTTTGATCATTTGGGAGTATCTTTTGAGTGTTTTCTGTTTTTCGTCGAACATCCCCCTGTAGGGGGACACGCCCGACTTAGCATTGTCTTTCTGAGGCCCATTCCCATTGGGCCATGGTGTCTCAGCCCCACCAGGTCACCCGCCCCGGTGGTGATATGTCCCGCGAGATCCGAGGGGAACTGCATGTGTCCCCACCCTGGGAACTGCGTAGATTCCCTGCCAGCGGGTATAGGAATCGGTTGAACGATGTTCAGCCCTGATGATCCTCCGTCGTCTGATTCGGTTTTTCCGAGTCGCCAGCCCTCAGTGCTTTTGGCCCATCCCCGAGACCTGATTTTCATCCTGAGTCGTTTTGCGACGGGCCTGAGGCCCAGCAAGCGGCGCCTTGGCGCCGAAAAAAATGCCGAGACCAGCGCGTTGTTTTAGACTCGCCAGAGGCCTGGGCGAAGCCCTTCCAGAATCGGCCCTCAGACCCCTCCTCCTCCTCCTCCTCCTCCTCCTCCTCCTCCTCCTCCTCCTCCTCCTCCTTCCTCCTCCTCCCCACTTTCCTCGTTCTCCTCCTCCCCACTTTCCTCCTCCTCCTCCTCCTCCTCCCCTCCTCCTCCCCTCCTCCTCCTCCTCCTCCTCCTCAGGCCAGAAGGGCCCGCCGCCCGCCGGGGGTGGGGCCCGCCGAGGGCCAGCAGGGCCCGAACGCGAAGGATCGTGCCAACACATGCCGTGCTAACACAGACGCTCTTAACCTTCGCTCCGCCGCAGGCGCAAACAAGTCCCGAACGCAAAGCTTTTCCCTCCTCCTCCTCCTCCTCCTCTCCTCCTTCTCCTCCTTCTCCCTCCTCCTTCCTCCTCCTCTCCTTCTCCTCTTCCCTCCTCTCCTCCTCCTCCTCCTCCTCCTCTCCTCCTCCTCCTCCTCCCTCCTCCTCCTCCTCTCCTCCTCCTCCTCCTCCTCCTCCTCCTCCTCCTCCTCCTCCTCCTCCTCCTCCTCCTCCTCCTCCTCCTCCTCCTCCTCCTCCTCATGCCAAGCCGTGCCAACACAGGCGTGCCAACATTCCTCGTCCGGCCGCCCGCCCCCGCCGATGCGCGGCCGGGCCGAACTGCTGCCCGGTCTGTGCTGCGCAGGGCTTCTCCGCATCGGCGATGCCGCGACGCTCCTGCGGCGGGAGGCCCGCCAGTGCCCCGTGGGGCGGCCCTAAGCTTTCCTCGGCTGCTACGCGTAAGAGTGACCGTTCGTCAGAGTGACCTTCTGGGCGAGGAGGAGGAGGAGGAGGAGGAGGAGGAGGAGGAGAGGAGGAGGAGGAGGAGGACGAGGACGAGAACGAGGACGAGGAGGAGAGGGAGGATGAGGAGGAGGAGGAGGAGGAGGAGGAGGAGGAGGAGGAGGAGGAGAAAGGGCGAGGAGGAGAAGGGAAGAGGAGGAGGAGGAGGAGGAGGAGGAGGAGGAGGATCAGGAGGAGGAAGGGAGGAGGAAGGGAGAGGAGGAGGAGGAGGAGGAGGAGGAGGAGGAGGAAGGAGGAGGAAGGAAGGAAGGAAGGAAGGAAAGGAGGAAGGAAGGAAGGAAGGAAGGAAGGAAGGAAGGAAGGAAGAAGGAAGGAAGGAAGGAAGGAAGGCAGGCAGGCAGGCAGGCAGGCAGGCAGGCAGGCAGGCAGGCAGGCAGGCAGGCAGGCAGGCAGGCAGGGCAGGCAGGCAGGCAGGGCAGGCAGGCAGGCAGGCAGGCAGGCAGGCAGGCAGGCAGGCAGGCAGGCAGGCAGGCAGGCAGGCAGGCAGGCAGGCAGGCAGGAAGGAAGGAAGGAAGGAAGGAAGGAAGGAAGGAAGGAAGGAAGGAAGGAAGGAGGAGGAGGAGGAGGATGGAGGAGGAGGAGGAGGAGGAGGAAGAGGAAGAGGAGTTGGAGGAGGAACAGGAGGAGGAGGAGAAATGGAGATGAGGAGGAGGAGGAGGAGGAGAAGGAGGAGGAGAAAGGGCGAGGAGGAGGGTGGGGTCCCAGGAGCACCGCGTGCGTCGCGAAATCAGCTGCCTGCATGCCTGGATTTGGCACCCCCGCGCTCCCACGAAGGCCGCGCACCAGAGGTCGGCCAGGCGCCCCCTCGGCTGGGCCGGCGAAACCTGAACGGGCAGCGCGGTTCGACCTCCAGCTCCTCCGATGTCTGTTCCTCGTCCTCCTTCGTCCTCCTTCCTGCCTCCTCCCTTCTCCTCCCTCCTCCTGCCCTCCATGTCCTTTTCCTTCTCCCAATTCTACGCTAGCCCAACTTGAGGATCTAGACTGTAGCGTTCTTGAAATAGTGCGGGAGAACAAAAAAACAAAAGTCCGACTCGGGACACAGTACTTGGCGGGCGCCGCAGGAACAGCTGCAGCAAGAGGGCGGCGGCAAGAGTAGAAAAAAGAGTAGGCGCCCGCCAGGTACAGGAGATCTGCGTTCCTCCTCCTCGTCCTCCTCCTCCTCGCTCTTGCCCAGGGGCCACGCAGGCATTGCGAGGCGGTTCAGAGATGCGGCAGGTTCGCGCCGCCTATCACCGAGTTCAGGTCGATGGTTCCCCCTCTGTGCCGGTCCTCCCTCGGCGTTTCCCTTTTCAGATTGGTGTCCAGCAGGGGTCACGATGGGTCTGTTTTCCACCACCACATCATAAGTTGGAGAGGGGGAAGGCGGAGGAGGACGAAGATGAGAAGGAGGAGGAGTTGGACACCCTCCTCCTTCAACTTATGGTGGTGGTGGTGGAAAACAGGCCCATCAGGTCAGGGAGTCGATTTCGACAGGAAATGGTTTCCTGGCGGGATCGTGCCAAGTCGGCGGCGGCGATGCTCGCGCCGTCGTTCAGAGTTGAGCACCCAGGGCGCGAAATTCATTCGAAAGGTGGGGTCGACAGCCTCTCTGGATCGCCGAGATAAGCGATTGCTTCAGTTTAAACGGTCCAGGCGGCGTCAGGAACCAGAGCCGACGCCCAGGATGTAAGGTATCTGAGCCTCTTCGCACGCAAACTAATCCATGCCTGGCACTCTGTTGGAGGTTTGCGTGGCGACGGCGAAGACACGTAGGCGCCAGTTCCCAGTGCGCATTCATGTTTTCTTCAAGACATCATAGCGGTACAGAGCCCTGCCCAGAATCTTGGGATGGGAGGTCCAGCGAACGATGGACGGGCGACCAGGCGATCATCTCCCCAGTAGCTGGCGGTCAGATGTCGGCGGGAAGAGGTCGAAGTGCACGTGAAACAGTCGAAGCGCACGTGAAACAAAAACCGACCATACAGGACCAGCACGAGAAAATTTA